TTGTATCAGTTTATATATGAGATTGAAAGCTTGTCAGAAGGAGATCCTTCCCCATCCTAATTTAATGCCTCTTTTTTCTCTATGCTATGTAGAAAATTCAGAAAATAAATAAGGCCATTTGGTTGTGTTTTTACCTTTTTTGATGAACAGATGGGTTTACCAGTGTTTTCTAGTTCTTGTATTTCTCGGAAATTTTCTCAAAATTGTTTACAAAGTTTCTTGTAATTCTAAAAAAATTAGGGTCCATATAATAATATATATTTTTTTTTCAATAAAATTTAGTGTTTTTAGTCACTTCTAATGATTTTTGAAATCTTAACTAAACTTCATTTTTTTAAATGAACTTTAGTTACTTAAAATTTTGGTTAATATTTCGTAAACACTCCTATAATTTAAAACAATAAATATTGTCTTCATGTCCCTTACACGTCTTTGATATTTTAACTAATGGAATCATGCTTAATTTAAGCACATGCTTTACGATCGTTTTAAACTTAAAAAAGTTTCATTATACATATTCTAATTTAAGTTGAAAGGTGTGAACCAAGTTTTTAAAGTCTTATCATTTAAATTTAGAGAAGCATATATTATTATTATTAGACATTTGGTCTTACAGTTGCATGAAAAGGCAGTAAAAAGAATTCAAGATGAGAATAGTGTTTTCAGATGAGATGTTGGGTGGTATGCACAGACAATTTAGGGTAATTTTATATCTTTTCTATAGAGTCTAAACTTGATTTCTATTTAGTTTTTGATTCCCATAGTTGATGTTTTTATCTCATAATAGTTACGTGCTAATGGCCGCAGAATTTTAGAGTGTGTTTGGTTGGTGATTTGAAATTAATAAATTCAATGAAATACAAAAGTTGTACTTTATATTTTCAGTATTTTAGATAAAAAAATTATTCAACGTATTTAATAATATATTTGTAAACTAGCGGTGATTACCAATGGAATATTTAGTTCAATCTAAAATATTATTTATTAATTTATTAACCTATATATTATAAATTTTAATTATTATTTTACAATATTATAAAATTTTTAGTATATTATATTTTACATTTTTTAATTTTAACTAAAATGAAATCAGTTTATAGCATGAAACACTATATTTATCAAAGTTTTTATCTTTTCAATGTATTTTAAAATTTTTAAATTAAGAAATCGAAAACATGGAAAACATAAAATGTTGTTTTCAAACTTTTCATATCTGCCAAACATATATTTCACAATGGTATGATATAAGTTGCACTCTGATTTTGGTTTCACCAAAAAAGCCTCGTGCCAATGGAGATGTTCTCTTTTCACTTGTATATCCATGATTGTGGAACTTTGATCGCACTTTCAAAAATAACACAAGGACTTTTCAAGTGGTCACCCAACTTGATACTACTCTTACCCGAGCACGCTTAACTGCAGAGTTTTAATGGAATCTAGTGCTAGTACGATCACACTCTTAATCGCCTCCCCTCGAACAAAACTATGTCCTTCCTATTAGTCTACCCAACTTGATAAGGCTATCCTTCATTCTTTCTATTATTCTACTCAGACCTGTAGAGTTGATCTTGCTTGCCACTCGAGCACTTTTTGTTCGATCTAGAGATTCACCTACAATTCTCTATATGACTATAAGGCTCATCATTTTTTTTTCTGTCCAGACTAGCTATGAGAATTTTACCAGCATAACTAAGTGAGAGGTATGACTTTGATACCACTTGTTGGGATAATGGACCCTGATCCACATCTATACAATAGTACGATACTACCCACTTTGTACATAAGCGCCCCTCGTAGATTTGCTTTTGATTTCACCAAAAAAAAAGCCTCTAACCAATAGAGATCTCTTAATTTATACTCTTGATCTTCCACTTATCTAATCAATATTCAACTTTTGTTGCATTTCCAAACATATATAGATTTTATAACTTATGCATACACTTACAAACCTATTTTACATCTCCATATAGCTTTTATTATTTACTTTTTAGCCTTTAATTAGCTCCCTCTAGTTCTTCATTTTGGAAATGCTTTGCTTTAATAGGTGGGTTTGCTTATCCTATCCAAACTTTGAAATTTGTTGATCCATGAACTAATTGTGAGGTATATTATCTGATTAAAAAATATATATATATATATATATATTGCACTTCTTAATCTCATGTTTCACAAACCAAGGTTAACTAAAATTATGAGTAAACAATCCTCTTGAGCACTGTGACATGAGATGTACTAAGTAAAATGGTCTCAAAAAGCTATCTTTATATATATTTCTTGCCTAATTTTGGCAAATTTTTCTTAAATCTTGTAGAAGATTAAATATGTTTTGGGTATTTATGTATAGATTACTAGGCCTGAAATTTGGTTGCTAAAAATAATTAATTTTATTCAATTAGTGAAGCAAAGGATGAAAGGACATGAGAGGTCTATTTCTTGGTGGATAAGAGTTCATAAACACTCTCACATTTGATTTGATTGAGCACTTGAAGGGATTAAAATAAAATTATTAATAATGATAATAATAAATAGAAGCACTATCCAAATATTTCTTTTGGTGAGTCCTTTTGCTTTTTAAAAGGTTCCAACCACACTTGAAAAACTCTGCACTGTGAAATTGACAAGAAAATTTTGAAAAAGAAACTGATCTTATAATTTTAAAGAAATTTAATAGGATATAGTTGAAGCTTTACAAAATTGGGGATGATATTAGAAAATGGTGCAGAATTGGAGACGATAATTTACTTACCCCTTGAACTAAACAAGCTAAAAAAAATTATTTCAGTATTGTAATTAATATGAATATTGAAAATTATAACTTGGTTGTTTGTGAAGTAACTTTATTGACATTGAAATTGTCCATTGCCAAAAAAAAAAATGGTAATTGTGAAAAAGTTACGAGATTCTGATTCATGAAAATTTAGAATATTTATAGGGTAGACAAACGTTGTGAGACAGTTCGGTCCATATTAAATGTAGAGTATTGAGATCCGAAAGTAGGTCCAGATTGTAGAAATCGAAATCTGAGTGAGAAAATTCCCGACGGAAGATTTCGTATTAATTAAATTTTTTGGAAAATTTCGTATTAATTAATTGTTGGGGTAGAAATTTGACCTGTTGGGATTCCGTCAAATTCACACCAATCTTCAAAAATAAAGAGATCGACGAGATCTGCAAAACAGAATAGCAATAAAGACCAGTGTAGCTCTTGCTCCGATACTTAAGTCACAATCAGAGTAGTTGAGTATAAGGTATAGAGTGTTGTGAGCATATTTTAGGATTTGGTTTACTTCCTATTTATAGGAATTGAATCTGATCCGTCTAGGATCGTGGAATTCGAATACTGATACATCAGGCAATCCGGATAGGTTCTCTTTAGAAAGTTAGGATTTTCTCATCCATAACATTAATTTACTTCTTACTCAAATTTAAAGTTAAACTTGGATAGAATTAAAACATTAAAGTTCCATTTGGTCCATGTAACAAGAGGAAAAACAAAGATTTTTTCCCTTCTAAATAATATTTCTTTTTCCTATATATTTTCTTGGAGGTTCAAAATCTTCATTATTATTTTATCAGCTTCAATACTTTATACTTTATGTTCTAATTTTTTATGCTCCGATCTTTATTGAAAAACCAATATGGAACTATTACAGCAAGTAGTCAATAAATGTCAAGATAAATAGTAAAAAGTTCAAAAAGAATGGATTCAAACTATAGTAATTTTGTAAAAATTGTTGAATTATCTAATCCAAACACTAACAAAAAAAAAAAAGGAAAATTAAGAAACTAATATGGTGGTAGCTTTCTTAATATTCATCTTATCAAATCAAGTTGTCATTTCAAAATGATATCATTACACTCCTCATCTTCATCATGTTTGAGATTCTTTTTCCTTCAAGAAATGTGATAAGGATAATTTTTTTTTTTTTCAAAATCATGAGTTTGGGATTTGATTTTTGACAATCTTGATTTATCATCTCTTTTCTTATCAAATATAAAAGATAAAACTTGTTTAGATTTTCAATATATAGAACCATCATTTTCTATTATAGGTTTTTACAATCCAAGAAATATATAAATAACTTATAGTATATATTCTTTTAGAATAAATAACTTGTAGTTGATTTGTATTAATGTACAAAATTAAATTTTGTCAATTGAAATAGATAACCTTTAAAAATGAATAATATACTTTTTAAGGTCTATATGATTCTAGATTATCTATCTCATATAATTTGTATTGCCATGTTTAATTTTTTTTATTGACTTATTTATTGCATAATAGTTAGTTTAAAATCAAATATTACAAAAACTAATTAAAAATGGATTTTTTTTTAAATTATATCTCTAGTTTCTTAATTTGCATAGTATATTTAAAATGACTAGAACTTTTCAAAGTCTTTAATTTCATTAAGTTGTGGAAAATACAAACTCACACTAAAGAGACTTGGAAAAGATGTATTGTCTTCGTCCATCCACGTATAGTATTTTAATACACTAATTTTGTTTCCATCATTGTCTACTCACTTCATATTTCGAATTAAGAAAATATAAGTATTTTGAAACTTACTAGCCAATAAAAAGTATCTCTTTGATACATATATTTGATTAAATTCAATGTACAAAACATCTCACATGGAAATGTGGCACGTGATTCTTTTTTTAGGTAAATATAGGTATTTTAAAAGTCATAATGGTATCTTTGAGAAAAAAAAGAAAAAATCTTTTTGAGAGTGATAAAATCTTGAAACAACAATGTTGGAGTTCGAACACAAGATTTCTTGTTCTGATACTATGTTAAACACTCCATCTGAAAGTTTAAGCTGATGAGTTGGGTAAATTTAATTCATTTATATAGATACTCAATGTTGGTATCACAATTCAAAATTTAATGTGAATTTGAAAAATCGTGATAACTATCAGCAAAGTGAAAAAGGTCAAAAGTACAATTTGTTGATGAAAGGAGGAAGTAGGACGTGAAGGACTTTGCATCTCAAATGTGACTCTACAGAATTGACACTTTACTTTAATTTCTTTTTTTGTTTTTGAAACACAACGCGGGTGTATTATTATTATTTTTTTTTAATAATGAGTTCGAGAATCTAATATATTTCACTAAAATCCCCCCACTTACAAGAAAACTCCTAATTTGTTGATTCATTCCAAATAACATCAACTAAAATATCACAACAAACATTCTAGATTCCAGAAGCTCTCTGCCACGTCATCCTGGAGAAACCAATCAGGTGGTGCCACAGGGGCATCAAATTCTGCACCCAGCACAGAAAGTGGGTCCAGCTGAAAGTGACCACTCGGTGGCTGCCACGTGTGGACGTCAGAATTCCCAAACCCATGATCTGAAGTAGAAGCAGTTTCAGAAACAGCAGCTTCATTAATGGCGGGCTCTGAGGAAGAAGAAGAAGGGTAATTCTGGAAAACAGGTGCCGAGAAGAAGCTCTGCGAGGAAGAAGAAGAAGAAGAAGATGATGATGATGATGTTTGGTCCATTTTGTGAAGCAACCTCGGAATCCACAAATGGCGAACCGTCTCAAAGAATTTTTGGCTGTTCGATTCTATGTTTAGCTGTTTTGCCTGTTTTTGGACCCTTGTTCTCCAATAATTCTTTATCTCATTGTCTGTTCTTCCAGGCAACTGCTGAGAAATTTTCGACCATCTGCAGGGAAAAAAAAAACAAAAAAACTTTAGATTTTCCTCAAAAATTAAGGAGCGATCCTTTTTGCTCTTGGAACACATAAAAAGAGAGAGTCCAAAATCCATTGATTCTGTCCCACGAATGAATATATTTTAATTAAGGAGGTTCGGTAATGATGATAGAATCAGTAATTTAAAAAAAATTTAATATAATTAATTTTACAAAATCATGCAAAAGAGTGATTTTAAGTTTTTTTTTTAATTAATTTTTTTATTTGCTTATCAATAGAAAGGACAATAATTTTATTTTAAAGTAAATTTGACAATGGTAAAAATGACCTGCATCCTAAGAATTAAGACAAAAATGACGTGGACTTGAGCGCAAAGTAACAATCTCTTAGTTTGATATCCTTTGCAAAAGAAAATCTCTTACCTTTATATCATATCAAATTAACATAAGAACTTTTAATTTCTTGAAAACAGTGGGACGAAAAAAGAAGACCAAAATCAAATCCTCTTGATTGTGTCCAACAAAGGGATTATACCTTCAACGAATATAGAACTCAGAAACTTAAGTTGATATATTACAATAAATTTACGGTTTTTTTTTTTTTTTACCTGTTGCCCCACTTGGAATGGAGCTCAAGGATGACGAGCTGTTCTTGAGGGGTGAGATTCCCACGCTTGATGTCTGGTTTCAAGTAGTTGAGCCATCTCAATCTGCAGCTTTTTCCTGTTCTCTTGAGGCCTGAAGAAGGAAAGAAGAAAGGGAAGAAAGTTAAATAAATGAAAGATGTGGGGGGAGGGTGGAAATTAAATAATTAGAATTTGGGCTATTTATTTGCAGAAAAGGACCTGCATATTTGGCTAAGTTGTTCCAATGGCCTTCCCCATGGCAAGCAATGTAGTGAGTGAGAAGTGTGTCTTCTTCAATGGTCCATGGCCCTCTTCTGAGCTCACTTTCTGTTGCGTTATTGCAGCTTCTAATTGCCATAGAGAAGACAGAGAGAAAGAGAGAGAGAGAGAGATTTGATGTTGGGTGTGAGAGAAATTGGAGAGTCAAATATTTATATAGAGAAAAGAGGAGGCCAAGAAATTAATTTATAGGAAGTAGCTAAAAAATGAGAGAATTTCTCCACATGTTCCTCCCTTTATTTATTATTTGCATATTTGGGTGGAATTTTCTTATGAAATGGGACAACCAAGACCAACAAGTTTCACCCCAATAGGTACCGCCTCTCACCAAGGAAAATATTAATTAGGTGCGGATAGATGAATATTTATTGTTGATGCAGTTTTCTGTTCACAGGTTGATCACGTGCTAATTGCACCTCGAGCGACCTCAAGTGACAGAGAAACCTAGACAGGGAACAAACACTCCGACGCCCAAGTTAGAGTAAGTTCAAGACAAATCTCGAACAAAGAACTGCATACCTGATTCATGAAATGGAGTGTCCCTTTTATAGGCGGACGAGGGACACAAGGTCATTGGAGACGTTCCCACCGACAGTTACGACTGTCGGGACCTCAGGTCGATGGTCGGGTTTGAGGTCGAACGACACAATTTGCTCATTTGCAACTCGTCGTTGATCAAGTCGGTGAATAAGACGAGTCTGTTTTATGCCTTCTGGTAACTCTCAATAGATTTGGGGCATACACGTGCATATTTTTAATTTTTAATTTGACCACCAACAGTGTTGACCATTATTGAATTTTTTTTATAAATAAGAGAAAATACAAAAACAAATAACTTAAAAAAACATTAATGAGCTGCCAGATATCGAGGGGTCATAGCAGCCCAATATGCGAATGAATCATTTTTGGAAAATAATGAAGAAAGAAAAAAAAACGCATCTTTTTTTTTTTTTTCATTTCCTTATTTATTTATTTGCAAAATAAAAGAAAAAAGACTTTTCATGGTGTGGTGTACTATAATATTATGAGTTTTTGGTAGATGAGAAATGTTAATGGAATCTAGTGACTTTTTTTTCCTCCTCTTTTCTTCCTTTTCTTTCCTGATCAAATTTCCAAAATAATAACAATAATAAAGGAGACACTTTTTTTTTTCTTCTTTGACAAAATGAAGAGAGACTTCACATAGTCTTTGTTTACAAGGTAACATGAGTGTAACGGATGAAAAATAGTGATGGAATATAGGGGCTTTGCTATTTTATTTATTAGAGCTTCACCTTTCTAGTTATTATTCAATCCATATACTTACAATAATTTAATAAAAATAGTCATTTAAAATAATGTGTACCTCTTAATGTAACGATATGAGTAATTCTTTCCATCCTAAGGTTGTTGGCACAGTGGCAAAGACTTGGACGTTGAAACTTAAAAGCCAGGTTTGAACCCTCCGATGTCAAAAATTCAAAAAACCGAAAAAACTATATTATGAGTTGGTGTAGTTTTACACCTCATTTCTCCCATAACTCACAAATGCTCCTCTACTTTTGTGAGTGTTCTCTATTGTTCATCATGTATCCTATTGACTCTTTATTGAAAGTCAAAATATTTGCTCATAAGAAAATCTTGATGGGATTGTTGTGCACCAAGCGCATATTATAACTTTTCACTCCCTTTCCATATGCTAGAAAAAAATTGAACATTTCTTTGGCTCAACATAAAGTTTCCTTACATTACATGAGCAAAACGCACTCCACATAAGTTATAATCCATCAACATCAACAATCATCCGCTCTAGAATATAAAACAGTTACCGAACGTTGTTTCTGTTTCGACTAATCTCACAAACAATTGCTACTATATTTGGTTGCCAAAGAATTATAAAAAAAATTAATTCCTATAGGTAGATTATTAGGTTGAGATTTGAACTCATTCCCTCTGAATCTTTTTATTTACGTTGGTCCCTTTGAACCAATAAGTCAACCCATGATCGTGCTATTTTCATTTATTAAAAGATTGAAAACGAGAAATAAGAAACAAGAAAAATAGAAAAATTATCAAACGGATCCGAAATTATTCAATGAGATTTCTACCCTTGATGGGAAACTATATACCAAAGGCACACAAACACGAACAGTTCAAATTAAGCAGAATATTGAGACCATGGATCTTTATTGGATTAATTGGTGTTTAGAAATTGAGCCATCTTTGTAGGATAATGATGAACCCCAACCTATTGAAAATATATGATTTTCCAGCATAAAAGCATTATCATATAAGTAAATCTTAACTTTGTTGACAGCATAAAGTTTACCAATTTTATGATCTCACTATCTTAATAAATCTGTGCTGGGAGCAAAATTTTTTTATATATTTCAAAATATGTCACCTAATTTTTTAAAAATTTCACTTATATCAGTAGTATATTAAACGTATATCACATGCATATTGTAGAGACACTCAGTAGTACATCAGATATATATCACATACATATATCAGTAATCAGATATATTATAAATATATTGCAAATATACATCATTTAGGTAAAGTTATTATTTTAAAATTGGACCTCCGTTTTTGACATATTTACAACTGTCTCTAAATCTTTGTTGACTCGTTACTAGATGATGTAAGGAGTTTAATTTAGAAGGTACATATGAAAATAATATGATAATATAACAATAGTATGTCTGGTTGTTCTAAACTTTTAAGTTGTCTATTTAATGTCCTCTAATACTTAAAATAAATAAATAAAATAAAATGAATTGTTCTGGAACATTTAAATTAAACTTGTGTCGATTTAGTTTCTCTACTTTAACAAAGTTTTTATATAGATCATTAAACTTTCAATTCTATTCTATGTAGGTCTCTATCTTAACTCTATCAATTTAATAATTACGTCAGTAAACATTTAAACCTACTCAAGGTCTCTATCTTAACTCTATCAATTTAATAATTACGTCAGTAAACATTTAAACCTACTCAAAATTAGCCTGTCACGTAGTTTTTAAATAATAAAGTCAGCGTGTGGAACAAAAACATTAAAGTAGCAGAGTTAATAATAGCAATGATCAGCATACAAAACTTTTAGAGTTCAATGACCTAAGTGAAACATTTTTAAAGTATACGGACTAGATTGACAAAATCTCGAAAGTTTAATAATCTATCTGAAATATTTAAAGTACGAGGGTTAAATAAACACAACCTTAAAGTTTAAGGAGTAAACTTGTTATATTTAACCTATAATAATTTTATACAACTAAAAAATTATTTGGTATATTTATCAATAATATCTCATCTGTCCCATAATGTCCACCTACCTTAGGAATTAGTAATTCCTATGTGTTTTTCGACATCAAATATTGTAAACTCAGACAGGTGTCCCGTAAGATTAGTCGAAGTGTGCGTAAACTGGTCCAGACATTCATGGTTATCAAGAAAAAAAATCTCATATGTGGAAAATTATGCCAAGTAAATAATGGAAAACTTTAATTCATACTAATTCAAAAAATATGTATATACATAAGTTGGAATAAGGCACATGTGCCGATTCTGTAGAAAGAATAGTCAAATTTTAATATTCTTAGAATGGTGACATCTTATTGAAGAATGCACTGTATAGATTTTCCAACCACAAAGATGTTTAAAGCCATTTTCAAAATACGAGAGTTGTATATAATTTACAACCTCTCAAACTAAATGAATATAGTATAAAATACTCTGCTCGTTTCTTGATTCAGTTTCGAAGAAATATAAATCTTTGATAATTGTTATTTGATCCTATTTTTCGTTTTTTATTTTTAAGAAATGTTTCACTTTTTCTATTTTGTCATCATTTTCAATTTTTTTCAAAACACAAATAAATGCATTATTTTATTACTCTTTGACGTATAAAAAATATATTATATAAAAAATTAAACATCTAATTAAAAACTTAAATTTTATATTAAAAAAATTCACTTTTAACATTTAAAGAAAATGAGAAACAAGAAATAATTATCAAACATATTTATATTTTATTTATTTTTCATAAAATAGAAAGAATAAGAAATAATTATCAAAAAATATTTATATTTTATTTATGTTTCATAAAATGAGAAAAACGAGAACTATTACTAAATTAAGTCGAAAGTTTATTAAAAAAAAAGAGGAAATTAAGAAGATAGAAAGATGGACATTGAAAATTATGATGATTAGTAGTAATTTTTTTGTGGCTTGGTAGACACGTAATTGAGTGGACAAAATAAAACGTGTGTAAAACGAATATAATTTATCTTTATCTTATAAGTTGTTTTGTCGAATTTTGATGGAATCTTCGTCAAATATTTTAAAAATACCTCTAACAACCAAGGAATAATAAATGTTTTTTTTCCTTTATAATCCTATATATTTACATGGTAATGTGGTTAATCTCATCAGATTAGTTGAGAGATATACATAACTTAGCTGAAAACCCATTATCTTAAAAAAGAAAAAAAAAAAAAAAGTAAAAAACCATAGTCGTGGTTGATGGTTACAAGAAGTAAAATATTTGAATAAAATTCTAGAAGAGCTTTTAATCCATTAAAAAAATACTTTTTTCATTTATCACTATTTCTTGTTAAAAAAAAAGCGTTTAAAGATTCTAAGGACTCGAAAAATTTCAATATTATTATAAAAAACTACACGATTTTGATCGTCCCATGAGGCTTGGACTAACGGGTTGATCGACCTAGGTACTAAAACTACACACAGAGAGGAGGAGGTTCTGACACCCAAATTAGTATAAGTTTGATCCTATATCTCTCAAGATGAGGAAGTAGAATCGTATACCTCATAGGTCTCTAATCTATTTTATAGGCAAAGACAAGGAGATCGTTTCATGATTCACGATACATGTACTCATAAAAGTGGCGAGTGAGTAGTTAGGTGCAAACTTATGGCCTTCGGCTCTCGTCCTTTACTAAGGTCAACCTATAAGATCCATATGGCTAGGCTCGGCCTTTAAGAAGGTCAACATCCATATAGTTTGTTCGTTGACTCGGCCAAGATATTTTTGATGTAATCTCAATTACATACATTAATCACTTGAGATCTAGGTTAATACCTCGGACGACTAATTATATTGATAACATGAT